TAAAGGTCATTACTAGTACCCTGAAAATCCTCCTATCAAAACATTGGCTGTTAAATAGCCTACCTTCCCTGCTACATTGTAAACTAAATGAAAGGGGGAATGATCAAGGCTTTAGCTCCAGAACATACCAGAGTCTTGATATGGTAGGTGCCCAATAAATACCTGCTCAGCAGATGGCTCAATGAGACACTACAGCAACATACAATTACATATAAATTTCAATTAAAAGAGTAAACTTGCTAATGATCAAGTACTGAAGCTATGGATCACCCAGTTTAAGAGTGAAAGAAATAAAGAAACAACCCTTCACACAACTGCCTTTGTCCTTCTTAGAAAAATAGAAACTGCTAAAGTAGAGAAAATTGGTGACTACTTCAGGCTCCACCCTGTGAGAGGATAAGGGGGAATAGGCAATGTCTCAGAAAAGCACAAGTTGGAAAGAAAAGAGTGTCAATTCTGCTAACTGCTATTTGAAAAAGAGCATAAAAATTTATCTTCACCCCAGAGCAGAGCTTTATCTTCAATTTGTTAAAAAGAAAAAGAGGGGGTATTAGTAATCTGTAAGAAATCTGACTCACACAATATATTAATAAAATTGTCCTGCTTTTTACAGATAATTTAACTGGCTTGAAATTCTGCAAGAGGTGCAATACAAACTGTATGTACATACAAATAGGTTATGTCATAGATCATGGGCAAAATGAAATCTAATACTTGATTCCCAGGAAGTGCTTTAAATACCTGTGATTCACATCCAAAGCTGTGTATTACCTCATTTTGTACCTCCAACATCCTCAGGATATTATTTTCCCACTGTACATTTGAGGAAAATATAACTCAGAGTATTGAAGAAACTGGCCAAAATTCAGACAACTAACAAATGTTCAAAACCCCCAAACTTGGGCACTTTTCACTAGACTGAAATTCTGTTCAAAAAATTGATAGGTCATAACCTTCAAGAAGAGGAAAGCCACCAATGCCCTCAATTCTTACAAAATCAACAGGCCAGAGAGGTTCACAAATTATACAAATGCCAATCCCCTATGACGTTCTAGGGGTTCACATGATTTAAAGGCCCTCAACCAATCAGATACTCCAGTATTTGAATTACATTTCAGTGTGACTCCAGAATACAAAGGTAGAGTAGCTAAAATCAGTAAGTACCACAGGGTAATCCAAAGTAAAATGGGGGAGCTGAAAAAACTGAAACACTTGCTGAGGAAACCACCCTCAGCAGGGAAAATGGAACAGATTCGGAAAGAAGCAGAGACAGAAGACCACACAGCTCCAGAGACAAAGGCAAAAAAGCCTTTGGGGCTTTCCAAATTCCCTGAGGTTCCTTCTGTTTCCTGTATCTGTGTTCTAAAAGACTCCTCACAATCAATCTCTTTTTACTTAAATTTATTTGAAAGGGTTTCTGTTCCTAACAATCAAATTAATCCTTGACAGATATGAAATTATACAAAGAAAAAAAAAGCATTAACAAAAATGCCAAATATTAATAGCAATTGTTTCTTAGTATAATTATGAGTGATGTTTTCTAGTGTTTATAATTTTCTTTCCTGCCAAGTTTTTAACCATGAGCATATTATTACTCAAACAGGGGAAATAACTTGAATAAATGAGGCAATTATGTATTTAGATAATTAAGACTTTACTAAATAATCAGGTGATCTCGAATCTAGAAGTAACAAAGAATATATAAAATCCAGAGAATTTCAAACCTGTTCCAGAGGACATCTGGGTTCTCTGATGCTTCAGGGCCACCAAGGGGTAAAAAGCTAAGCACACCTCCTGCAGTCTATACCTTTTGCAGGCTCTTCTAGCTCAAAAGACACCCTACCTGCTCCTATCTCCTTTACTCAGGACAGCCACCCCACAGATGTTTTATGCAACATGGACAAATGCCCCAACCACCCAGATCTTCAGCTGATTGTATCAGAGTGAAAATCTGCCCCAAACCAGGACTGAGTACCTTTCTCTGGTGTTTGGAATGAGAGGGACATTCGCACTCCACTTAAGTGGCTGAAAGGGGCAACTTCACCACCATAAAGATCACCACCACGAAGCAGAGAAGTCAGTTTGCAGGGAACATGAAGCATGAACAAAATCCATAAAAACAAGAGCAGAAACAAGGGGCTTCCCTGTTCTGGATTCTAGTCATTTTCTGAGCACTAGGTTTGTATCTTGGGTATCTTAAAATACCTCTGTGGCCTGTAGCTTAGTTTCTATTGTTCATAACAAAATATACACACAAAAGCTCCATTTCAACCAGATTAGCCATTGAGATACATTAAATTTTTACTTACACAGGGAAAAACTGTTCCCCTACTTAAAAAAAAATACTGATCCCAGTAACTCATTTTCATTTTACAAGTGAGAAAACTAAACTCCAAAGGCCTCATCTTCACAAAGCAAAAGTTAGGGGCTCTCCCATTCTAAAATAAAAAGGGAATCTCAATGCTTTCCAAATACAGACTTACATAGGTGTTACTGGGACCCAGGCACTGTTCCAAATGCTACACAAACACTAACTTAATCTAATCCCCACAACAATGCCAAAACACATGTACTGTTATCCTGTTACAGAGGAGGTGCATGAGGCTGACAAATAATGTATCCAAAGTCAGAGATTCAAACCTAGGCAGTCCAGCTCCAGAGTCTGGGTTCGTGATTAATATTCTATACTGTCACTTTGGTAGGGATTTAAACTTGAATAAGTGGTACTGTTTATAACTTAAAACCTGCAAATGGTCTTTTCTGTCATGGCAGAACAGACTCTCAAGTCTCTCTGAAGCCTAAGATTCAATGACTTTTTGACAACACACGTGGGTTCTAGGACATTATTGCCCAAGCTTAGTTTTTAACCTAGTATTTAATTAAGTTTCCTTTTCAATCCCCATGGTTGTACTTTACAGGAAGTACAGCTGGCTAGTGTAAGTCACTTTCCCAACACAATTCTATATTCACCATCTTGTCCCAGTATAGCCACCCCTACTGTCCATTTTTGGCCTCAAAATGGCTGTAATACAAAGGTAAAATACTATCTATTTTTCAACTATTGTGTTATATTACTTTCTAATTTGTGTTTTCTTTTGGATTTTTTCTCTTTTTTTCTTTTTTTATTTCCCAGCGCCCTTCTTTTTGATTTTTAGTTATGTTTATTGGAGTGACACTAGTTAATAGGATTGCATAGGTTTCAAGTTTTTCTTTTAAAAATGACAAAATGGAATATTCTATGTTTCTCAGGAAAACAAAACAAAATTAAGTAGTGCTGCATCCCACTTAATGTGTTTATCTATCTTTAGATCCTTTATTAGGGAATCTTCCCCATTCTCATCCTACACCTTCTAAAATCAGTCATTCTTAATCTAGGGACAATGGACTATAAAGTCCATATATAACTCCCTAGATACATGCATGGTACATGGTACATGGAAGCAAACACATAATTTTTTATTAGCTAGTATTTTCCTAATGGAGAGAATTCATGAAGTTCATCATATATTTTTTATCATTTCAAGTAAGCAAATTATGAACTACTGAGCTAAAGAAAACTCTGTACAGTTAGGACATGCCATGGAAAATTAAATTCAAAATAAGATCTTTAATGATCCTCATTTTTGTAGCACCTCAGTTATACTAAGTAGTGTTTATTTGGTCAGAAAAAAACATCCTCATGTTACAAAAAGTGTGTCAAATAATGAGAGCCCAAAAAGATCTCCTTTGGCTACGCAAAAATGCAATCAACTACAACCGCATCTACTGCTTTCTGGTTAAATTATATTTTGCTATACATAAAACTTCTGATTAACATGTCAGTGTAATCAATAGATGGTTTATAAATCTCTTCTCCAAATTCTTTGGGAATCATTATTTCTATCTCAATAAGATAAAGAAGTATTCTTGTATTCTTTCATTCTATCAGCAAGTACTTATTGAACACCACTGTGTGTCAGACACTGCATTCGTCCCTGTGCTACTGTGGTTAATTCTTAGTTCTCCCCTAAATTGTAGTCTCAATCTACAAATATAGTTTAGAGCATACTGTTCATATTTGTAGGCCCAGCAAACAACATAATACCTAGATCTTCTTGGAAACAGTATATGGAACCTCATAATGATATAGCAGAGAAGACAGGCTGAATATAAAAGCAGTATCTTCACACTAATAAAAACCTCCCTGGTCAATTTTGGTAGCCAATTCATGTCACTGGAATCAGAATAAAATGGTTTATTAAAAGGGCCCCCAAAATCTTTGAAATATACATCTTTCTAGTAACGTTTTTCTTGGACATACAAAAGACAAGAAATCTCTTATGCTACAAAAAGTACCTTACACAGCGTCAAGAACCTGTAAGATTCAAAGGCCTTTCAATAAAGTGCCATAAAAATGGAAAATATGACAGATTCACAAGCAAACGACTTTACCTATGTCCATCTTGGTTACTAGGTTTTGGGCCTAACGTTTCAGAGGCAACATCAAGAAATAATAGAAATGAGGAAGAGGAGAAAAAGGAGAAAAGGCATGCTGGGATGAGCATTTTGGCTCAGACTCAATAGAATGCTCTAACTCAAAAGTTACTACTGTGAATGACCAAAACAACTGAGTCTAAAAAAAGTTTGTGAGAGGCTGGGCTGTTATATTTCACCATATGTTGGGGGCATTGTTTGCTTCCTGAAAAAGTCCCAAACATCCTGCCTGCAGCCTCCTCCGGATGCCGCTCACCATTTATGTATTCTTGTAACACCGGTTAAAAAAAAAAAAAAGTATTTAGGAGGGGCCCTGAGAGAACTTTTCACCCCTAGCCGCAGCCCAGGATCCTCCCACGGGAACTGCCATTGGACCGCAGCCCGGCTTGCTGGGAGGAGGGGCGGCCAGCCACGCCCGGATGCACGGAGGCCAGGGTCCTGGCCTTCTGGCCCGCCCCTCTGTTAGGGCCGCGCCGGCTCGGGGGATCGGGATAGGGCGGAGGGGCAATGATGCGGCCGGGCCTCACCTCCACGGCTTGGCCCAGCTCCAGGTCGAAGCCCACCACACACACGCAGTGCAGCCAGGCCGAGAAGCCATCCCAACGCAGCAGGCCCCGGCCGCGGCCGTCGTCCTCTTCATCTTCCTCCGGCGTGGCTCCCGCCGCCACCAAGGGCGGTGCCTCGCGCTCCTCCGCTGCCGGCCCCCCCAACGGCCCGCGGGAGCAGGGCCCCGAGCCTGCCAGGTCCCGCAGAGCCATCCGCCGGTCCCTCGCTGTTCGTGCCCCCTTGCTGTTAGCGCCCCCTCAACCGTGGACGCGGCCACAGAGCGCTTGGCTCTGCGCAGGCGCAGCCGCAGCTGCGGAGGCCGGGCTCCGCTGGGGCGGGGCGGGGCGGACCCGGGGCTAGGGCCCATGTGACCCCAGGAGCCCAGCTTTGCCTGGTTCCTCCCCTGCCACCTCTTGGACGTGGGCACGTCACGCTGACGTTTGACTGGGTTGTGCATCCGGCGCTGGCCGCCTTGTCTTAAAGCTCTTCATAGACTGAACCAGTGATTTATGAATCCTGGCACCCTCTTTCTCAGTCCAGCGACCAAGGAATGAATTATTTTTTGGAATGACACGGTTCATAATTATAAGGCATTATTAAATTAAATTAAAACATAATAGTAATGGTGACAAACATTGAACACTTACTCTGCCAGTTGGTGTGCCAACAGGTACTTTGAAAATATTACCTCACTGAATCTTCACATTATGGCTACTAGGTAGACCTCATTATTATTTTTTAAATCATCACCTAAGAATGTTTGCATTGATTTTAGCAAATTTGTTTGATATGTTTATTGATTTGAGAGAGAGAGAGAAACATCTAGGTGAGAAAGAAACATAATCTGCTGCCTCCCACTCATGCCTGGACTGGGGTGGAACCCAAAACCCAGGTATGTGACCTGACCCAGAATGGAACGTGCAACTTCTTGGTGCTTTGGCAACACTCCAACTAACTGAGCCACCAGGCCAGCTTACAGTTCACTCAGTCTGTTTATATAACAGTTCTGTGCCATCACCCTGGCTCAGCTGGTTGGATGTCATTCTTCAGATCGAAAGGTTGTGGGTTGGATTCTTGGTCCTGGCACATACTTGAGTTGTAGGTTCAGTTCGCGGAGGGGAAGCATAGGCATGTGCCCTGACAGGGAATCAAACTGGCGACCTTTAGGTTCACAGGGCTGGTGCTCAATCCGCTGAGCCACACTGGCCAGGGTACAATAAATGTATTTTAAAATAACACAATATTTATGTTTTATACACACTACCTTATCTAATTCTACCAATAGCCCCAAAAGGCAAATCCTGTTATTATTCCCATTTTACAGACAAGGCCTGAGGCTTCATGAGATGACAGTGATGTCACAGCCAATAGGTGGCAGAATAGAGATTCAAACCCAGATCTCTCTGTCAGCCTGAGCTTCTAACATTTTATACTGCCCACTCAAATCTACCCCTTTTGACAAATATTTCTGTCCACATTCTTAGAATATTTTGGGGGGGAGTAACTTTTAGCAATACTATTTTCAAGAAGAGGGTCAAGCATCCTCAGACATCAGTGGTGATGTTTGCTATACACTTTCTTTAGGACATAAGATGAATTAGGGACAGTATTAAAGTTAAAGGCCAACTCTTTGGCTAAAACAATCTACCCTCCTACTCCAGACAACCACTGTAGTTAGGAAAGAAAAACTGTATTCTGCAATTAAGTCACTAAGCCCACTATTAGAAAAAACAGTAGCTTTTAGTGTTAAACACAGTACTAGAAATAGCACTGGGATAGAAATCAGAAGTTTTGGATTTTAAAGCCAGCTTCAGTCCTGATCATAGTAGGCAAGCTACTCAACCCAAGACTCAGTTTGTGCATTGGTAAAATAGAAATGATCATTCCCAGCCTCAACTTCACCAGTTGTGGGGAAGGGCCAAACTGTCCCAATGCACACATTTTACTGGATGCTACCTCATTATTAATGATTAACAAATGTTAAACACCAGTTGTTTCACAGGGCTGGTTATTTGATGTGTGGACACAGATTGCTATTCCCCAAAATGCTGCTTTAAAATTTTGGATTAAGAGTAATCTTATCAAGTATAGTATTCTGCAAACAACATATTCTGATGAGCATAAGTTTGATAAGAAAGTGCATAATGGGCTCTACAGGATTTTAAAAGTGAAAAAACAATTTCGTTTGCTTTGAAAAAAACAAACACTTCTAAAGCAAAATTCACAACCACCAGGAGAAACAAAAAATTTCCTAGAGTTTTTATGCCTTCTACCTTCATAACTGATATTTTCCCTAAATGTCAATTTTAACATAATTTCTGTTGTTAATATTTGTATGGGATCTAAGGGAAAAGCCACTAATACATTTTTTCCTTTCTTAAGGTTCTATAGTTAGGCACTTGGAATCTGAAAGGAGTTTGGATCATGTAATCTCTTCAATCCTACCATCCTATTCATGAATCTTTGGATGTTTGGTCAGCCAACTACAGTCTTAATACCACTTATTAAGGTAAAATCAATACCTTACGAAGTTGCTATTTTCTGGACTTTAATAAGGGCTAGAAAATTCTTCCTTTTATGGAGACAAGATCAGCCACTTTGTAATATAAACCCGTTGGTCTAAATTGTGCTTGCTGAGATTAAACAGAGTTCAACTCTTCTATATGATAACCCTGCAAATATTTTAAAATGGTTATCCTACATCCTCATGTCAGAGTAAACTACTTCTGTTCCTCCAACCCTTCCTTAAGGAATATGGTTTCTAGGTCATTCATCATCTTGTTGCCCAACTTGAGCATACTCCAGCTTGTCCACATCACTCTTAAATGCAGTGCCCAGGAGTAAACACCATTCTCCAGGTGTGACCTGACCACTGCAGAGTGTACTCTGGGACTATTACCTTACTTGTCCCAGCTACCAGCCTTCTATTAATGCTGGTTCAGATCACATTTGCTTGTTTTGGCAGCCAGGTCACATCACTGGCTCAGGTTGCATTTACTGTCAACTAAAGCCCTGGGTCTTTTTTCACTTAAGGAGCATTTAAGTCAGGGTAGGCTGCTTCAGCCAAGAGCATGACTGAATTCATGGCTCTGCTGCACTTCTAATATTATGAACAACATTGAGCATAGGATTAAAAACATTCCAAATTTCCCTATTCACTCCTAACAAAACTCCTGGCATTTTAGAAATTTTCATAGTTTAGAAAAAAGAAGAAGAAAGAAAGTGTGTGCATTAGATAATGGTGTGAGCTCTAATGCCAAGTCTCTGGACTTAGCTTTACCAAAAGGACCTGAAAGGAGTCAAATACCCAAGATATCTATCTACTTGGGCAGCCAGAGAACTTCACTTTTGCTCTAAAGCTAAATGCTGCCCCAGCTTCTGGGCCATAACTATACTTGTGGTGGCAAGAAAACACAGAGAAATACACAGAGGCTCAAGTGCCAGTGTGTTATCAACAGAAAACTAAATTCCTGCCATATGCCTCTGAGAAACAAAATGCTCAAAAGCAGATTTTGAAAGGATGATCCAGGCAAAGGAGACAATAAAATACTTTGATGCTTCCTAAATAATACTTGTGAAATCTTAAAAAACAACTTCGTTTTAAAGAGCTTTGTGGGGTTTTTTTAAACATTCCTAATATCTATACAGTGCCTGGCACATGGAAAACACTCAGTAAATAGTTAATAAATGAGTCAATACACTAAAACGAGAAATCTCTAGTTGCTGTTCTTTTGTTTGATAGAATTTTTCTTTCATGGTCAGTTGTATGAACACATGAAAAGTTAACATAAATGCTTCTTAAATGTAGTTCACTTTTAGCTTATGAAAAGTAAAGATAGTAACACTTCACTTTTTTGAAGCTTAACTTTTCCAACTGTCTGACCCTGTTAATGCCAGGGGACAGTTTTAATAAGCCTATCAGCAGTTGAAATGTAAAACAGAAATGGTAACCAGTAAGGCTCGTGCTGTTTAGTCAGAGAGATGTGAGGCCTTTGCTCATAAATTATTTTGTCTAAATTTATATATAATTCTAGCAGACTAACCAGAAAATAAGAGGAGAAAAGAGGTTGCTTGAAGCTAAGCATGAAAAAAAAAGCAGAAAATAAAAGGCTATACTAGGTTAATAGAATGGAGGGAAAGAAAAAAAGGAGTCAGAAAATAAAAATGTTCAGAAGGATATACATTAAACTATTAAGAGTGGTTGTCCATGGGAAATACAAATGATGAGAAATAAAAGTGCTGGTGAATAGAAATAGGGAACTTTGCTTTTTATTTTACACAGTTTTTTATTGTTTTAGCTATTTAGAAAGGGCATGCACATATTGCTTTCACAACTAAATATTAAGAGATAACAAGGGTGTGATAGAGTTCCATGTGTGAGAAACTGGAAACCACCTAAATGTCCAACAATAGAGGATCAACTTAAGAATATCATGTATCCATTCAATAAACTGTTCTGCAGTCATTAAAAATGTCCCAGGAGACCATTTTGTAGCAGAAAAAATATTCAAACATATAGTTCAAGTAAAAAAATATAGATCATAAAACAAAACATAATAACTGTTTTTATAAGTTATTTACAAAATAGAAGACACTAAAGTTGATAAAAATATCTTGACATTGGAGAAATTTTTTGTTTGAAATTAAATTTATTTTATCTGTATAATATCTATTTAACTAAAAGCTTTATGTATATCTGTATGTACATATATTAATAACAGGAAAGCTGAAACAGAAGAGAAAGAAATTAAAATGTTTTCACTAATATCTTTGTGGCAGAAACCGAAATGTCACTGTGATGGTTAACACTATATGTCACTTTGACTAGGCCATCAAGTGACCAGATATTTAGTTAATTATTATTCTGGGTGTGTCTATGAAGATATTTCTAGATGAGATTAACATTTGTATTGGTAGACTTGAGTAAAGCAGATTGCCCTCCCCAATATGTCTGAGCCTCATACAATCCATGGAAGCCTGGATAAACCAAAAAAAACGAACTGAGTAAGCTCTCTGCCTGTCTGTGTTGGAATTGAGACATTGGTCTTCTACCTGTGGACTCAGACTCAGACTGGAATGTTCAGGTTTCCTGGTTCTCAGGCCTTTGGACTGGGACAGGAAATATACCATTGGCTCTCCTGAAACTCCAACTTGCTGTTCTGCAGATCATGAGACTTCTCAGCCTATACATCTTTTTCTTTCCTTCTTTCTTATTTTTTCTTTTATTGAATTTAGAGGGAGAGAGAGTAAGAGAGACAGAGAAACATCAATTAGTTGTTCTACCCACTTATGCATTCATTGGTTGAGTCTTATATGTGTCCTAA